TTTTTGATGATGTGGCAATAATATATATTTTAATTATGTTATATAAATAAATAAAAATACCACGTAGATTAATATTTATATTTTACATAAAAACAAATAAAATTACCTAATTACCCTCACCCTCCCAATCCCTCTTCTTCCCCTTCTTTCTTTCTCTTTCTTTCTTTCCTACCCTGGGTCTTTACCAGGCTGGATTCCAATGGCTGCGACGAACCCAGCCTGCTAGGTCTCGTCGGAACCCAGCCTGGCTGGGTCTCCCCGAACCCAGCAAGGCTAGGACGAGGGAACCTAGCCTGGCTGGGTCTCCCTTGTTGGGTTTCGACGAGACCCAGCAGGCTGGGTTTCCCCGAACCCAGCTGTTGGGTTCGACGAGACCCAGTTGGGTTCCGATGAACCAAGCTTTGCTGTTTCGATGCTAGATTCATGTTTTTTCATTCTTCTTTCGATTTTCATTCCCAGTTGTTAATAAATTTGAGAGTTGATTTACAATTTGATTGTATGTTTGTTGGAATTTGATTAGAGTTTGATTGATATTGTTTATTGAAGGGTTAATTTGATTTGATAAGATCTACTAAGTTTGAGGCTTCAATGAAACCCAGTAGCTGGGTTTAATTTCTCAAGTTCTCTTAAGAAAAGAGAAGAAGAAGAGATTGGTTAAGATCGGTTTTGTAGAGGAGTGGAGATGAGAGAGCATTTAGAGAAGAAGAAGAAATGGGTTAAGATTGATTTTGCATATAGAGTGGAGATTGATTCTGCAGATGGAGTGGAGATTGATTTTGCAGAGAGTGAAGATGAGAAAGGAAGATGATATATCGTCAAAAAAGTCCAGATCAGTGCCTTTTTAAGTTATTTTTGCCATGTCATAAAAAAAAATAAAAAAATGCCATGCGACCGAGTTAACAGCCAAAATTGACAGAAGGACTAACGGAGTACATTTCGTATAGTTGAAGGATCAAAAAAGTACAAAAAATTACTAAAGGACCAAAAATGTGCAACTCACTAAAGTTAAGGGACCAAATTTAACATTTAACCTTTGTTTTATATATAAACTTATATTATATGTATGAACTTATAGTTATATATTAACTTATGTATCTTTAGTGTAAAATTTAACGGGCAAACAAATATATCTGTAAGTATATCTATACCCAACAAGTTAAATATCAAGTATAATATTTTAATATCCAAGTAAGTACTAAGTACTAAAATATTGTACATGTTACTGTTTAAATCAAATACAGGTATGACCAAATACCTGACCCATACCTACCTATCCTCATCCCTACTTCTTGTATATCCATCCATGTAACTAATTTTAACTATCTTTTGTACGGTAATTTTAAATAATATTTATATATATAAGGAACAACTGTTTTATATGCCT